GACGCAGGATAGCATAGGCCGCGCAGAAATTTGAAGCAACGTTACTAAGCGGACGGGACTCAAAAACAACAGCGAACGGAATAATGTGGTTGCGCAACACTTTCTGAGCAAAAAAAAAAAAAAAGAAAGTGCCGAATTTAGGACGGCTTACTGTTTTTCGAGTAAAATGACGCCGACGGTATGCCTTCGAGCGAGCTGCTGCGTGCGGCCATCTTGCTCTAGCTGCCAGCGGCAGCCTGGCGGGGCCTTGCTGAACTACCCAAATCGGAAAACTCTGTCAGCGTATGAAAACCGATACTGCAGGCTTTGGTCTTATCCATAGAGTTATTACAATAATAACGCTATGGTCTCAGCTTCACGCAATTTATTGTCACTTTTTGAGTTATCAAACTCCACGTAGCAAATATGATACGCTGGGCTTTGTGGGGTATATAACAACACAAGACTAAGAATTATGTTACCTCTAGCCGATTACTGACTAGGAATGCAGATATTATTGTAACCTTTGCTGCTATTACACGCGCGGAACGAGCATGGGGCAACATGGCATTAGTAAGCTTATCACTGCGTGAATCTGAAACCGAAACTGATCGGGAGCATGCCATGTGGTGTTACTTTAGCCGATTACTTTCATATCATGGTGCCTTTCAAAGCGTTAGATTAAGAGAAGTGTCTAGCCGGCCAATCTAAGTACTCAGAACAACTGTATACTAATAATACTTGCAGATACTTTTTGTATTCATCAACTAAACAGCGGCAGTCACCTGCCTAATCCTTGTCAGAACCGGGTAGGGCATATATACGAATCGGGTCGGTTGGGTGGTCAGAGTAGAGAGTCGCGGTTGTGTTGTGTTGCAGTTGCTTGTGCCTTGTTGTACTGTTCATATGTATGTGCCCGTAACAGTGGTCGGTAACGTGGTTAGTGTGTTGGCGCATGAGTTGTCATAGGTGCAGTACGTACGTAGCTCTAGAGCCTCAGGAGAGTTAGTGAAGGAAGAGTATTTTTTTTTAGTGCATCTAGCGGTTACTACTACACCTCCTAGGTGGCGCAAGCTGCCGCCTCACTCAATAAGCTAAGTGTTGTGAAGTCCTGTAGCTATTGACTACAAACAGCTGGCTACGGTCCAGCCGTCCAGGCTCTGCGGTCCACTGGGCTCCCTACGTGCCTCTCAGATTGAAAACAATCGCAATAATTGTTTCACTCGGCCACCTAAATTATTGTTCTGTGTCGAAGAGCCGCGAAGTGCAGGCAGCAATGGATAACCACGTCGGTTGAGGTAGGCCCAAACAAGAAGAGATAGGGAAAAAAAAAAAAAAAGAATGCGGGGCGTTGGTGCGAGTTGAACGCCTCCCGTCGTGTCGACGAAGGTGCCCAGCGATTCATCGCCGCAAACGACAAGCATACGTTGTCTTCAATAAAGTCAGCATACCCATTCCTCGCGTTACGATTTCTTTTTTGAGCGTTCTCCGCCGGCGGTAAAAATACAGTCAATCTAGCGAGATGCCGTCGGGTGCAATCGCGACGATTCCGGCAAACACGCTGCCGTCCTCCCCGCTAATAGGTACGGTACCGGTGTCTAAGGACGGATGTTTAGAGTGTCTGGTGGCGCCTGGAAGACGTCGAATAGGCGTATGCGCCCTATTCTCAAACTCGGCCGAAAAGCCGTGCTGTTCGCTAGGCCTTACCGGGGAATCCGAGCCTCGCTAACCGTCCGCCATGTTGCTTTTGGGGGTAGTCAAATTTCACTACCTGCTTTTTGACTACGTGTGGAGTCGTCATTTTTACCCTCGGGGTCGTTATATTTGGGACAACTTTTTACCACCCCAAAGGTAGTCACCTATGACTACCTTTTTTTTTAGAGTGTACTGCGCGCGTGGACATCTACGGAGAGTCTTGCCCCGTCAAATTCGTCGTCCTCAAAGACTGTTCGAGAGACGTCATCCTTGGCATGGACTTCCTTTGTGAGTACGGTGCCGTGATCGACCTTGGAGCAAACAGGTGGACGCTGCGAAAGCCCGTGCTACCTCCGGAGGAATCCAAAACGTCGCCAGCCGCCGTCCGAGTCATTGCGGACCACGTGAACCTGCCGCCACGGTCGAGTGTTCTTGTGCCCGTCGTTACCGACGCAGTTGCCAGCGGGAAAGTCCTTCTGGAAGGCAACGTCCAACTGCTTCTCGGAAGAGGAATAGGCGTCGCAAGGGGCGTAGCAGAGCTGCAGGATGGACGTTGTGTGGTCCTCGCGACGAACTTTCGACCGTTGCGGGATAATGCCGCCCGCAGAGCCGAGAAGGCAACGATTGGTCACGGTCTTCTAGAAGACTCCCGGTCATTCTCGCAGCAGGCGTAACTGTCCCTCTGCTTTGTTATTCTCGAAAGTGCCAGTTCATCCTCGCCCCGAGCGCGCGACGCTCGAACCTGCTTTGCCGAACTTTCGAGATAGTGACGCACGGTAGATAAGCAGCTGCCCGCGACTTTGTCGAGTCAGTCTCAGTCTCGCCCCAGCGCTCGATTCCGCTGACACGCCGACTTCGACGCCCGCGACGCTCTGCTTTCTTCTGTTTCCTTCTTTATTTTTGGCACAAGTTCGCCACATTAAACGTTTATTTATTTCTGTTTATTTCTTGTTTATTGGTCACGACTCACCACCCGTGACATTATCTTAATATCTAGAAACTCTATTTCTGTATCGGGGTATTTATATGTAAATTTAATATGTGGATTAAAATTGTTGGCAAAATTAATAAATTCAGAGTTTATCTTTCCCATTATTCCAAATGATAAATATGTCGTCGGGGACACGTTTATAAAAAAAGGGGTTTATGCGGAAAGGAGTTAAATATCCGCCCCTCTAAAGACATCATATATATATATTTGCATAGGAGGGACAGAAACGTGATCCCATCGCTGCGCCATGTATTTGTAGATAGTTGAGTAATGCGGATTCTTGGGCGAGTTTGTACTGAAGCTTGGGGAACATAATAGCGCTTCACGACAGGGACGAAGAGTAGGAACGAGACAACACAATGCGCTAACTTCAACTGGTTTAATCGTCAGAAAATCAAGGGTATCAATACTCTGCATCATCGCGCCATTCAGCCAATCCCATGCCACGCCACTGATCGCAAGAAATGTGTTTCTTTGTCGCCCAAATCGACCGACACCACGCTGACACATCGATCCCCGTAGTTTTTTATCAGGTCTGCCTCTATAAAGAAGCACCTTGCCTCAGGCAGAACCCTGCCTGAGGCAAGGTTCTGCCAACCTCCACGGTCGTTTCTTCCCAAAATTTTATCAAACAATTCCCTGGTTTCCCCAAGATGTTCAGGGAATGTGTTAATTTGCTTGAATGCTGAGATTATCGTTACGGAGCACCTTAAGAATAGAATTATGTAGTTGGGTGGCCATTTAAAGGTTAAATTTGCTTCGCTAAAACCTTTTTACATAATTAAACTGTGTTACTTTGGCCTTGGGTGGTCCCCTAAATTCGCTGTTGTTCCCACTGGAGATTACCTCTGGTCCCTATAACATCCAAAGAAGCCTTTTTCCCGCTGCACTCGGCCGGCACGAGGAGGAAAAAGGGAAGGAACGTGTCTCTACAACCCACTGAGACCCAATTAAAGTCAATCCCTAGATTCGAACAAATTTCTCTTTGTCCCTAGAATATAATGCAACTCCCTAGATATAGGGCAAAATCCTTAAGGTTTTCAGCACTGGCTCTGTCTCTACATGTCTTATTCTTTCGTGTTTTTCAAATTGCCGCAGAACGAAGGCGTGTTCGGGAACATAACCGGAAACTCTCCGGTCTCCTTCTGCACTACACTGCGCAGGTGACAGGCAAGGCGGTGTAAAAGTTCAGAAGACGGCTACAATTTGTGTTATTTTTGATACAAAGGAGAGCTCATCTACTAAAATATTTACCAGTTCCTTCACTAGGAGTGAAAAAACTCCCGCAATTATTAGACCCAAGTCTCATAATCACCGTAACTCATGATTTACCAGACCTCTGCCCCTCTTCAAAAAGGCATTGCTTATTTTTTACTTCAAAAGATATGCATATATTACTTTGTTAAAAATTTAAATGTTTATTATATCAAACAATCTAAATACAACTCAAATTAAGCAAATATGGACTTCTAATAGATCGGTTTAGCCCACCAAGTGAGTACCCATAACAATATGGCAAACTTCTCAGATCATTTTAGAAAGAACTTATTCCGAATTGAAACGTGATAAATAAGTTCAATTCGGGTAAGAAATCCACAGATTCTGAAATATTCTATTTTTAACAAAATATTTTCGAAATTGACTTTAACCGAAGAAGTGGAGACATAGCTATATTCCCTGTAAGTATTATAGACGGCAATCATACTGTAGTAGTCAATACTAATTAGAACCCTAGAACGTATACTTTTTAAGGCTATGCCCGACATTATTTTTTTTTTGCATTAGGTTATATGAACCATTTTTGCAATACTTGAACTTGCAATCACCATAATATGCCGCCGTAATATTAGTCCAGAGGATGTTATAAGTGACTCGCAGCGTGCAACAAGAAGAAGCACATGCTTATTTTAAAACTTTTATATTCTTCAAGAATAAGTTGAATATCCCGCAGTCTTGCCTATGAGCGTTTTGTGCTTATGGCATGTTATACTTTCCCTATTTATAAAATTAAAACAAAGTGCTCGCATATTGTACGAATAGCCACGAAGGGGAATATAGTATTTTTCATAAAATACTGCTGCCAGAAAGTCATATAAACCCTAGTAAATTAATCTGATATGAATAAACATTTCTCTGTCAATTAAACGCATAGGATCAAATAAGATCATATAAAAGCATAAAAGAACTTTATAAGATCATATAAGGAAAATAGAATATTATCTAAGAAGTTAAAAGTAACTTCTTATCAGTTTGGTATAACTTCTTATATTATCTTATATTGCTTTTATGTACTCTCATAAGGTTCTCGTATGCTTTTCGCATCGATAACAACGACATGAAAAGATCAGTGAGAGAGACCATTAGGATAAAGACGTCTGCCGAATGCATCAGTCAAACATCCGTCCACTTAAGTTCAGACGCCGAAAATATTTTGCGGCTGACTGGTTTGAGGGAACCGGGATGACATCGGGGTGTCGCGGTGCGTGTGTGTTGACAGGAGATTTGTCGGCGGCTTTGTGACTGGTTTGGGAGCACCGGAGTGACCTCGGGATGTCGCTGTGTATGAGCGTTAACACAAGATTTGTCGGCAAATTCGAGTTGGCGACGTCTGAGCTTATTTTTGAATGGAATGTACGGGGGCCTCGGAAAAGGAAGAGGGAAGGGGTAAGGGGTTTCGGGAAGAGAAAAGAAAAAAGAGGGGGACAAAGGGTGGCGAGTGACATGTATGTTTGTCCTATGAAATAAAGTTTGTAGCTGCGTTTGAGACTTCGTCCGTGTCGTTGTGTGTTTGTCCCTGGTCCGCATCGCCAGTCTCGGGTTTACAGCTCTGCTCAATTTACACCAGCTAGCCTGCACCCTCACCGTTGCCACATTCTGATTCCCTTCGCGCTGACTCATCTATCAACTTCCAGGTGATTCAACGTCGGTCCAGATCTGAAGCCGAGAACAACTACTTCGAGAAAGTTATCAAACATTACGAGAGTGGATTTAAAACACAGGGGGGAGCTTCGTGGATAGGCAAGTACAAATGTATAACTCCTTCTGTATTAGCATCCCAGAAAAGGCAACCCAAACCTGGAGCACAAAACAACTGCTTTTAAATGGCGACCTTAGAAATTGCAACGGTAGCGCGACAGCTTTTTGTCACAGGAATGACTGGTTCGGGGCAGTCGCTTCCGGACCAGTTTTTTCGGACCGGAGGCAGAGTCACTTGGTCCCTGAACTAGTCAGCAGCGCCTCGAACATCCGGCACTTCTGCGGCAGTTGCAACAAACATGCCTGTCATTTCGCGGCAACGTAACTAGATTTGCTATAACTAACGTTTGGTCGCTGTAAGGAGCATAAATAAAGAGCCAGTGTGGTTTCTGTGGTAGCTCTGATCAGCGCTATTTAATAGTACTCATTTCTCTATAACAAGCAGCATCCATGTTTGAAGGAGCCCCCAAAAATAAACTCAATCTGATAGCCAATCCGTGGCTTATGACTTCACAGGTACGTATATTGTACCGCAAACAAAAAAAAAAACAAGAAAAAAAAAACGCATCTCCACGTTGTGAATGATGTTGATTGGGGCGAAGCTTTGGTGGTGCGTGTCTGCGTAGACGCTGAGCCGCAGCATGCCGAGCCTTTCGTTCGTTTTCATCCATGTCACGCTGCGGTCAAATGCTCAAAGGCGTAAATAACCACTTTCCATACCACACATTCTCTTTCTGACATGGATGAAAACGAACGAAAGGCTCGGCATGCTGCGGCTCAGCGTCTACGCAGACAAGCACCACAAGAGCTTCGCCCGAATCAACATCATCCACCACGTGGAGATGCGGTCGTTTTTTTTTTTTTTTTTTTGTCCTACACGAGCACGGGAGCACGTGCTCACGTGCTCGTGAGCACGTGAGCGCGTAAGCTCACGAGCAGGAGCACGAGCCCCCGACGCCGGACATCGGACGGACATACGGACATTTATTTTTATTTATTTATTTACATACCTCTAAAGGCTCCAAAGGAGCATTACATAGAGGGGGGTGTCGTATAAACTTTTACATAATCATACAATATTTTACAAGAAAAAATAGAAGACATCGTGTCACGCTAAACAGAACCATGAAGGGAAGACATTACATAACAAAAAAGCCACACACGCACTCACATCATTGGAGGCAGTCGACGTGCTAGAAAAAAAGCAATAGACCCAGCGAGCGAGTAACATACAGGGCAATATATGATTCATTCACCCTAAAGATTCACGCAATAACAACATAAATGTATCATGATCAGTGACCGTCGCAATTTCGCTTGCCAACTCATTCCATTCAGTCGCCGATTGGACGAACGGGGAGTATTTGAACAGATTAGTTCTTGCAAATGGAATATGAACTTTGTAACAATGATCATGACGAGGGGAAATGCGAGCCGGTGGGAGAATGTTGTTTTGACGGAAATCTGAGGAACTATGATAGAGTTTATGAAAATGGGATAACCTTGCGAGGTATCTTCGCTGGTGGAGAGTCAATAAACCAAGTGAACTCTTAAGTTGACTGACGCTTATAGGTGAATACGTTTTTAGTATAAACCTGGTGGCCCTGTTTTGTAATGATTCTAAATTATTAATTAAATATTTTTGATGCGGGTTCCAAATTATAGCTGCATATTCCAACTTGGGCCTAATGAGGGTAGAGTATGCAAGTAGCTTCGTTTCTGCTGTTGCCATATATAAATGCCTTCTTAAGAAACCAAGTGACTGGTTAGCCCTCCTAAGGATATAATCTAGATGAGTGTTCCAGGAGAGGTTGAAAGTTAAGTGGACTCCTAAATATTTATATGTGGATACTTTATCCAATTTTGAATCTATAACTTTGTAGTCGTATTGAAAAGATGAGCGACGATTGGTAAATGTCATTATTTTTGTTTTATCTATATTTATCTGCATTTGCCACGTGTCACACCATGAAAGTATGATATCCAAATCACTTTGAAGGGCCTGGCAGTCGCTTTGACTAGATATTTGACGGTATACCACACAGTCGTCTGCAAATAGGCGAATCTTTGAAGAAATGTTGTTGAGGAGGTCATTTATATAAATTAAAAACAAAAGTGGTCCAATAACGGATCCTTGAGGGACACCAGATTTGACATGTATAGGTGGTGAGGTGATGTCATTTGCAAGTACTGATTGTTTTCTATCGTGCAAAAACTCACGAATCCATGTAATTACCTTATCATTAATTTTGAGATATTGTAGTTTTTTTTATCAGACGACTGTGTGGTACACGATCAAAGGCCTTCGAAAAGTCTATAAAAATAGCGTCGGTTTGTGAGGATGAGTGAATACAGGTATGCAAATCCGTTACCAGTTCAAACAGTTGGGTTTCACACGAAAGACCACGTTGAAAGCCGTGCTGATTGGGAAATAGCAGGTTGTTTGAGACTAAGTGTTTCATGACAGATGAATATATTATATGTTCTAAAAGTTTACAAAGAACAGAGGTCAATGAAATTGGTCTATAGTTTGTTGGGCAATTCCGATTACCAGATTTATAAATCGGCACGACATTTGCTGATTTCCATTCGTTCGGAATGTGGCCAGTATTAAGCGATTGCTGGAATAAGCTGGCAAGCACGGCACCTGATGCATCCTTTGTTAGTTAAGGTAGCTTCGAGCATACACCATTAGGACCCGGGCTGGATTTTGTCGGCAAGCGGTTAATGGCACTGATAACACCATCAATATTGATTTGCACATCGTCCATTTCTGGAATGACGATTGTAGGTGTAACATGGCTAGCCCCTAAAAGTGTATCCACACGACGGACCAAATCGCTGTTTTGGTCCGCGGGCCGCGCATCACGTGATCTCACGTCATCGGTCTTTGAGGTCCGCCGGCGATCCGCGGCCCGCGCTTCTGAGAAACGCCAAGCGACTTTTCTCGCCCGGACCTTGGCGGCGGACCGCGGCGTTTTTAGTATAATTGCAGTGCTAAGTCTGGCAACAAGCTGACTTTTGTTGTTTAGATTGGAATCGAAATCCAAAGTCGTGTTCTTTTGGCGCCAACTGTTGAAGACGAAGAAGACGAACCTTTTGTTGTGCGACGATGGCGGCATGGTGCGACGATGCAACTTTTTACTTCATCGCGCTCGTGGAGCAATTCCCCGCTCTGTGGGACAATAGATGCATGCCCTTTTCGGTTCACTTAAGTCCTCCTCGTAGTCAATAGTCAACGCCAGGGCCACCGCGGCCAAAAGTCTTTTTCGTTCAACCTCCATCTTGGTTCCTTTCAAATAGCCTCAAAGCAGCTGGTTGCATGCGTTTGGCAGAGCTGTGAGGTCGAGGGTTAGACCGGCCCGTTCACTCTGTCGTCTGCTCTTTTGGTCCGCCGTGTGGATGCTCATTGCAGCCGGGCGGCCCGCGGGCCTCGCATCACGTGATCAATCGGTCCGCGGCCCGGTCCGTCGTGTGGATACACCACGTGATCAATCGGTCCGCGGCCCGGTCCGTCGTGTGGATACACCTTTAAGGAGCTTCGCCCCTAAAACTCGAGTGAGTGAGCCCTAATGCAGCGATTGTTCTTTCATTGTACGCTTGTGAAAGACCAAGGCTGATATCACTAATCTTTCTCTTGGCTGAAAATTACGCACAATGCGACAACAAATATGCTAAAGCAGCGAAACACGAACCCGACCTCATTGGAAAATTTTATCTAAATTCATACAGAAAGTCTTACGAAAAGGCATTTCCCGTATACTTTTGTGTGGGAAGGCACACAGGAAGCACTTCGTATGCACTTGCAAATAGTTTCATACGAGAAGTCAAACAGGTAATGAATCATAATTCAAATAACAGTCATTAGAGGCACAATCCTAGTCTCTACAAAATAAGCCCTAGCATCTTTTCACTGCTACGCATATAGTGCTCCAACTCACTTCGTTTTGAATGGGAATCGGGCACTAAAAAAATCTCTGAGTATAGAGCGGGTTATGACCGCTGTGGCGGGCGATTCTTTTCAAGGATTTGGCATTTGACGGACGCCTTACACCGCCAACCGCAACATCAGCAGCCACAACTAATGCGACACTTACGTCAACAACGGACGTCATTTCCGCTGGTGGGGATGACGTCCTATCAGGATCCTTTTTGTGGGTATGGATCTTGTATACCTATGCAGGATCCTGTGTCTTCATATGGCAAGGGCAGAGTTAAAGGAGGGGGGGAGGGGAGCCCGCCCCCCTTCTCCTTAAATCCCCAAAGTCAAATTTTTTTTTAAAGTAAAATCATTGATAAACACCAGCCAAAAGTTTAGTTTTTGGCGACATAGCAAATATTGGGTCAACACATTATATCGGGGCAACGTTTCGGCCGTAACGCGTCCTAACTGTTTTACTTTTTCACAAAACGTTGCTGTCTCTATGGGACCCCCGGCACTCTCAATCTGTCAACGAAAGCTTTTTTGCCCGGGGACCCACAACACTGCGTTAGAAGATAAAATTGAATGGATTGAATATCTCAGCAGACTCACCCCCCCCCCCCCCTCCGGCCGCCGAGTGGCCAAAGCCCCTCCCAGGCCTGACCCATAAATCCGCCCCTGGGGTATTCGCGACTCCAACTAACTATAGGTGGCGCCACTCATTTTCCAAGATGGCGGGTTTAGTGAGGGTCAGAGATGCGTGCCGCTGTTGAGCCTGTCTAGCGTGCTGGCTTCACTGAGCGACATAAATTATTTCTGGTAATACGAGGAAGCTAATGTATTATGAGCGCAGGTCACCTCTTTAACCTGAAAACAAGAACGGTGTTTAGCGTATTATTTACGGAAGGATGCACGTTTTTATTCTGGAGCGAAACCGAAACTTACCTCTATTTTGAATTTAATTTCTTGATATAGGTCTTAATTTCGAATTCTTTCATGACTCAAGATGTGTCTCACATCGTAATTATTTACTTAGAAAAGTTGTTCGCGGAAACTTTATTTTGGGCATATTGTTCGATCCAGTCTGATATTTGTAGTTGTTGAAAAAATCAGTGCTGAT